GATGGCCGCCTCGTAGCAGCCAAAGAAGGCGCTATCGTAACTGGTACTAGCTGGCCAGACGACTGTGTCTTCCGGATCCGACACAAATACTAAAAAACCAGGGCCCATTACGTGGTTTGCAATAAAGCTCCCCACTTTTTCTTGCATGGCCTTGATCCGGCCTTTTGGAACCGTGCAGTAGTAGGGGGTGTTTTTCTCTCTATAGGAGGCGGATGGCTCCGCCCAATTGTCTCCTTTCTCTACTGCATGAGAAAGCCTCGCCTCTTGAAGGCGGTTGTGTTTCTCCTCTGTGTCTAGAGAAGCATAACCAGATGAACTAGACTCGGACTCGTCCTCTGAAGAGTCCGAAGAGGACGACTCCTCTCCTCTCCCAGAGGGGCCCGCCTCCTCTCCTTCAACAGGAGGGGGAGAATATGTAGACATATCTACGGTAAAATGGGAAGGGACCACCTTGACCCCTCCCTCAGAGCTGTCGGCGGTCAAGCCGCCTTGTCCACTTCAACATCTGGCGCCTGGTCAGATGTCTCACTAATCGGCACCTGGTAGGAGGAGCCGTCCGAATTTGTGATCCTAGCAGTTCTTTTTGTTCTGGCCATTATGTTCTGCATAGACACAAAGACAGTCGGACTTTGTATAAAGGGAAAAGATTGGTTCGAAAAAGGGCAGGCGACACTCCTAGTCCTAGATTCAGCCGTCCCCGGTGACCGGCTGATCACTAACCTAGGTCGTGTCATGTGCTTCCGTGGTACCATTTCAAAAAGGAAAAAATAAAGAAAAGTTAAAAGAGTGAGAGAACCGACGGTTACCTGAACGAGTGAGAAGTTGCCGAAGTTCTGAAAATTATGAGTAAACAGCCGACTTGTCAGAGCAGGCGGTAGGCAGAAAGTGTCCGGAATGTCAGAGTAGGTTTAGGGGTCTGAATGTTCTCTTAAAAAGTTCTCAAGTGTGAAAATGAATGAGGTCAACACACCCTTATATAGGCAAAATGAGAAGGCGAAGGGTCACTCCGAAATTCAAAATTTGAGCGGGAAAAACTCTCGGCCTTTCATCAAGTGACACCTGTAGCAGGCCGTCGCCTGTTACGGTCCGACACCTGTCACAGGTAACACGTGACCACTCACGTGCCACCTGTGAGGGGAAAATGATTAGGGGATTTTTATCCACCAATCACCATCTGACAAGTGGACCAACCAGGTTCCGCTACGTGTCCTTCACGCAGGCCAATAGGAGCCTGCCACATGTCAATCAAAGATACGTCCACCATGGACCAATTGTGGCATGACACGTGTCCCCCCATGCCAAATGGGAAAACCGGCCAACAAGGCCCAATCCTTGTGGGAAGCCCAGTCAGCTCTAGGTTTAACCTAAACCTAGAGAGTGGCATGCTTCCCAAGGTTATAAATACCTTCATTAATCCTCATTAAAGGGGGACGCACATTCAACACTTTCGCCTAGAGAGACCCAATCACATTATTCCGTATTAATTACTCCTTAAACAAGTACTAACTTGACCGTTGGAGGCGGATCTACGATCACTCGGAGTATCCGTTTGTTTTGCAGGTGCAGGCGTCCGGTTCCAGTCTCGGAATTATAACTCTCCTGCAGGACATCAGAAAACCCCGAAACAATTAGTATTGTTATTATTCCATAGTTTCAATCACAACGAGAGTTGGGTTTTAACGGAATTGAGTAAATTACTTTAGGGTTTGAAATTCATCACGAGAGTAGTTGATTTGATGATTGGGAAGTGAAGTAAAGTGTTTAATGTCTCTAATTTTCAAGATTCCATGAGAATAGGCTTGATTGTGGTTAGAGAAGCCATTGATACTCGAGAGAGGTCCTTGGTATTGATTAGGGTTTACTTTTCCCCATGTTAATTGGAATTGTATATTAGGGGTAGATATATAATTGCATCGATCGTAATTGTGGTGATACTTGATCTTGGATGTTTTAGCTTATTGATTCATTATATTCTTTTGATTAATTCTAGTTTTTCATACATTAGTTCTTAGCTTATTCCACCATTAATTTGATTCTTGCTTAGTGATTATTTGAGTCTAGATAATTTAGATGAACCTTAGTCTCTTGGGATTCTACCCTTACTTACCCGACTACATAGTTAGGAGGAATAGTTAGGTTATCAAAGTGCTCTTGTTTTTCAGCCAACCACGATTCCCAGCTCTTGGTTGCTGGCACACCAATACCACCATGCCATTTCGAAAATCATCCCAGTCTTCTACAATCTTCAGCCACTCAAATCCTGAAGAGTTGAATATGAAGGAAGCAAATAACCAAGATATGACTAAGAACCACACAGAGCCAGCCAAATTCATTAATGCAATGGAACTCCAAACTTGAAGAACTGGCCTTGGGAGGAAGTATTTTTTCAAATCATATTGCTTACTTTCACAAGGTAAAAAAAAAATGCTTTGAATTCCAAGTGGGGTTCCATATCTAAGTTCATTAGCTCCGAGCATCAATCCCTATTATTGTAGGCAAGAGCCTTGGTGTTAAAGAGACAACGGATTTTTTAGGATCCAAGAAATGGCTCATTAATGCTGGAAAAAAGGCCGCGATTAATATCGTCTAAGATATGAAAAACGAATGCGCCATCTTAAAAAAAGGGGAAAGTAAAAGGATAATTACATTATAAAGAGAGCCACGTATTATTTTTATTTTTCAAAAATTCTTAGAGCACCAGGTAGGATTAGTATTATTAGAGCGTTACATGTAGGATTACGCCACGTAAGATTATTATTTGGACAATTTCACTTTTGCTACCACCAAAGCATATGCATCTCACTTTTGCTACCCCTTAATTTTTTTTTTAATTTTATTACCACCTAAAATCACAATTGTTTAAAATTGCTACCAGTTGACGGAATCCGTTAGGGTTCCGTTAAGTTTATTCAAAAAAAATAAAAAAATAAATAAAAATTAAAATGTTTTAAAAAAAAAAAGCCCAGCCACCCTCCCCCCTTCCATTCCTCCACCTACGCAGCCCACCACCTCTCCCCTCAGCCACCTTCCCCCCTCCCCTCTGCTGGCGGCCGGCGCCCAAAGCTTGGGCCAACGCTGGTGACCCCACCCCAATCCCTTTCCCCCACCTACGCAGCCACCCCCCTCCCTTTTCCCTTTCTTGCTGCCCCGACCCCCACCACTATCACAACCGTTCGATCATCAAGCTCCATTAAAATCAATGGCTCAACAACATCAGACCGTGAGCACGCATCAATGGGTCTTCGCGCGCGCACTATTAGGGTCTTGCTGGTCGAATGAGCTGCGGCGGTTGCCGTAACGCAATTGAGTAGCTGGGCGGTTTGACGCGGGTCTTGGTTGGAGGCGGTGGTGATTGATTGTTGTAATTGGTGGCTGAAATGGCGATTGAGGGGGTTGAATTCATGATTGCGGGTGGCGGATTGGTGGACCAGGACTGCCGGTGCAGTGGCTGATTTGTGCGGCTGTTCTGCGATTATTGATGATCGAACGGTTGTGATGGTGGTGGGGGTCGGGGCACCAAGAAGGGGAAAAAGGAGGGGGGTGGGCTGCGTTGGGGGGGGGGGAAGAGAGTGGGGTAGGGTTGTCGGCGCCGGCCAAAGCTTTGGGTGCCGGTCGCCGGCAGGGGGGAGGGGGGAGGCTGGCTGACGGGAGGGGGCAGGCTGGGCAATTGAAGGTGGTGGGCTGCATAGGTGGAGGCAAGGGAGGGGGGAGAGTGGCTGGCTGGGTTTTTTTTATATTTTGAATAAACTTAACAGAACCCTAACCAATTCCGTTAAAAGGTAGCAAATTTTAACAAAGTTGTTTTTGTGTGGTAGCAAAATAAAATAAAATTTTTAAGGAGTAGCAAAAGTGAGATGCATGTGTTTTGGTGGTAGCAAAAGTGAAATTGTCCATATTATTTTAAAGCGCCACGTAAGATTAGAATTAAAAGCTTAAATTAAATATAAAAATAAAATATTATCTTTTTACATTGGAAATTTTATCTAAATATGAGAAAATAAATAATTTAATTTATTTCGTATTAATTAAAAAAAAATTAAACTTAAAAATGTAATTCACACTTAATTGATATTAAAAAAATGGATTAGATAAAAAAAATAATGAAATATAAGAAGTGATTATAATAAAATATTTTTTAAAAAAAATTATAATAAAAAAATATGATATCACGTCCAATTAACATAAAATACTAGCTGTTTAAAAAAAATCAGTTTTGGATTAAATACAAAAAAAAAATAAGAAAAAAAATCTTAAAAATATATCCTTTCTCATATTCCAGCAAAAATAAAAATGTTCATCATTTTTCATTTATTTGGCTACAAGATTAATTACATTAATATAAATTTATCATATTATCACCACTTTAAATTCAGTATTTTTTCAATCCTATATAAACCCATCTAATGTCCCACACAAATAGTTAAACACATACATATAGCGTAGCTTTACATTTTATTTTCTTTTTATTTTTCTTCAAGAATTGTTTTGTTTTGTTGTGTAAAAAAAGTTACAAAATATACCGTGTTTATATATGTGTGAACCTTAATTGTATAAGATTAAAAAAATAGTAAAATTATGTATGAATATTTTTGTTATTACGATTGAATTTTAAATATTAAATTTAATTATTAATAGAGATCCATACATCGCACGAGCTTAAATCTAGTAACTATTAATTTAAATCAATATAAAATACAAAAGGTGTGATTTAGAAAAAGATTAAATGGAGACCTAGTTCTTTATTGAACCAAAAAGAAGAAAATGGAAGGGAGCTCACTTAAGTATGATTATGAAATTGTCTTTATCATGGTTTGCTAGTGAATCATTCAGTCCAACATGCTTGATATTGATAATATATATACAAAAAATAATGCTTAGCATTTTACATATGTACTATCTCCAAAGCTTTAACCAAATAAGCTAGTTGAAATCCACTAAATGGCAAATTTTAAGTTGTAAAAGCTTTACATTATCACATATTTTGGTGCATAAAGAAAAAACATTGATATCAAATTGTAGTTTGTAAACAGTTAAAACTGGAACAACATTTAGAGATGTTATTACATTTTTTTTTATTTATTATTACTTTTTTTTATATAATTTACCTCTATTTTATCCTTTTGAGATATTCTAAAATTGATGAAGACGTACAATAAGCAATAGCTTGGACAGTGACCATAGGATTGACACCCAAAGCAGTAGGAAATACACTAGAATCAGCTAAATAAAGCCCCTCTACTTCCCAAATCTCACCCCTTTGGTTCACCACTGAGGTCCTTGGACTGACCCCCATCTTGCAACTCCCCATTTGGTGGGCAGATGCAACAGGCATAGATAAGCCTCGTATATCCCTAGAACTCTCTCTTTTCACAAACTTCTCAAACTCATGATTACTAGTTTTCTTCACATTAATTCTTGCTCCACTGTGATGGTGGGTGCCGATTTCCTCAGCCCCTGCAGCTTTGAGTATCCTAAGCGTCTTCTCAAGGCCTTTTTTAAGATTAGATTCGTCTATAGAGTCTAACTTGTATTTGATGTCAAATGGATCGTTAGAAATGGTTCCTGATCCAACATCACGAGCTAGTGCAAACAAGTGGGTTGTTCGAGAAAACTTTGTCATTCTATGCTTCATATCTAAACCAGAGATCCAAGGCATTAAAGTTGCAAATATGCCTGGGTGTAATGATGGGGTTTGGATCACAAATCGGGACTTTGACTCGTCTATAGACATGGTTGTCATGATACTTCCCTCGTAACTCTTTCTATCTTTTTCCGGCCATACTTTCTCCTCCTCCAATAATAAAGGTGATGATAGTGGCTCCTCCGGGAAATATCCCCATGCCATCACCACCGGGTGAAGATGCAAATTTCTACCAATGTTTGGGTTCGTTAGTCCACTCTTTTTCAATAATGCCGGTGTGTTGAGTGCACCACAAGCTATTATTGTTGCCTTTGCCTTAACTACACATAAATCATGATTACTACTTCCATCGGTTTTTAGCTTGAACACAACTCCATTCGCCGTTTCACGGTCTCTCCCTCGTTTTCTTTCATACAACACTTTCTCCACTTCACACCCAGTAAGTATAGCCCCATTTCCGGAGTCTACCACGTCTTTAAGCCAAGTTTCACACGTACTATTTTTCCTCCCATCCTTACACCCAAAACAACACCAACCACAAAAATGATCTACAGGGGCATTTCGAGGAATGTCCACTGTAGTGTACCCTAATTCCTTACAACCCTTCCTTAACACTGCGTTACTAAACCCTTCCTCAGTTATTTCATTTTGGACCTCCATCTTCTTACAAACCACGTCTAGGGCCTCCTTAAATAATGTACTATTAAAAATCTCTAGCTCATGCACATTAGCCCACTCTTGAATCACATGTGGTGGAGTTCGTATCGAGGCCGACCAGTTTATAGTTGATCCACCCCCAACTGTTGATCCAGCCAAGATCATCACCCCTAAATCTCTAGTCGATAACAAACCTGCACCTTCATACATTTGATCCAAAGTGGGACCCTCTAAAAGAGAGAGATTTTTCCTAGCATAATAATCTCCTTTTTCCAAAACAACTACTTTATACCCTGCTGCAGCTAAAACTCCGGCAACAACTCCCCCGCCGCTACCGGAGCCTACCACAACGACGTCGCATTGGATAGTCAGTACTGGCCTTTTACTAATTTTCTTTTCACTATTGACTGACACGTGGAAGCCAGTGCGCTCGAGAGACTTAACAAAGATTTCTTGAGGGCTTTTTGCATTATAAATACCTCTGTAAAGTGGGCCGTAGAAATCTTCTTTGGACTGATGTTGGGCTTTCTTTTGGGCATTTCTACTTGGGTTTTTGAAGTCTGGGTCAGGTCCACAATAGCCTATTGCATTCCAAGATGGGTTCTCTTCATTCTCGTCTACCTGACATTAAAATTGAAGGAAACATCCGTAAATCATTAATCATTATTATTGACATAATGACATACACCAGATTTTATAGAATATGAATAGCAATTACACACAAAGATTAAAAATAAAAAAATAAAACTGAAAAAATGACTCCCTTGCAATAGTTAATAATCGTACAAAGTACTACGGAATAAGTTGGAAATTTATGACAAATATTGTGAATTTATGTCAAAATTATGGCAAGGGTGAGTGTAATTGGAGTATAAGTTAGTAATGACAATTTTGTAAGTACTGTTCCATCAGCACTAGACAACGTAACAAACTTTGTCAGCCAAATTATTAGCTAGGAATTTAACATTACTCCATCAGATAAAGTATTAAATGAATCCGTTTCATAGTGAATTCATCAACGATCCCAATAATATATAAAATTTCAAAATTTGATAAGTCCGGCTAATAATTTATTTCAAATTTTCAAAAGTTTATATAGAATGTTCAAAAACTTATATTATTAAATTTTAAAAGTCGAGATGTTCAAAAACTTATATAAAATTCCCAATAACTTATATGCATTTGACCATTTCATTATAAGTTTGGAGGCCAAGTGACCAGATTGGTAAATAAAAAAGACCTTTAGCGACAATTTGGTAAAAAAAAATTAACTCCGGTGACAATTTGGTGAAATAAGCTAACCCCAAGAGACAATTTTAATAAAAAAAATAAAATAAAATAATCTCAAACGACATTTAGACCAAAAAAAAAAAAAAATTCCGACAAACTTCTCGCGAATGCTTAATTTAGTTCATTTTTCGTGGTTTATTTATTTTTATTTTTTTTATTTCCCACCTAATTTTGCCAACCCCTTTATAAGAAAATAACAATTTAGAAAAAAAATATTTAAAAATTAATGTTCTTACCCCTTATTAATGATTTTATTTTATTTTTTTTTTATTTTTTTTTTTAGGAGTTGGGTATAAATTTGGTATCGGGATTTAGCAAAACAAAAAGGGGATGACATATTGATTCAAAATTTTAAATGGGACAAATAAATCAAAATACACAATAACGAATTAAATTAAGATTTTGAAGAGTTTGTAAAAAAAAATAGATGTTTTTGGTCTAAATGTCTCCTGAGATTTTTTTTTACCAAATTGTCGCTAAGGGTCTTTTTTATTTAACAATTTGGTCAACTGACCTAATAGATGAATAAATACGTACTTACAGTATATTGATAGTCAATTAGTCGAAATTGTTAGTTGACAAACATGTCCAAATGCAATAGGGAAGCATTGGCGTGAGGGAGTAGAATTTTATATCATTTTGCTTTTTAAAAAGTTTTAATTATTTTTAAGGTATATTTAAAAGAAAAATGTTATACATAGCGCTTAGGATTACATATAAGAGCTAAAAATGAAAATAACAAATAAAAATATAAAATTAATTACACTTATTTACGCGTGATTTTACCATGAATTCCTAAATTAATACACCCTCCGTCCCAGAATGTTTGTCACTTTTGATGAAAATTCACGGGAATTAAGGTGGAGAATGTGGAGACGTGGAGTAATGAAAGTATATGGGAAAGTGAAATTCCCAACCAATAAAGTAACAAAAATGCATGAGAAAAAGAAATTCCCAATTAAAAAAGTAATTAAAGTACATGAGAAAGACAAATTGAGATATTCAAGAGTGTAAAAAATTAAATAGTCAAAAGTTGGCACAATTTTTATGGCAAATGTTAGGGTAAAATATGAAGAGCACTTAATAAGAACAAAAAAAATGTGGGTATAAAATTCTTTTTATGTATCTTAATAATTATGAAAATATGAAATGTGACAAACACATAGGGCCACCCAAAATGGCAAAAATGACAAACATTTAGGGACAGATGGAATATCATATAAGGAAAGATGTTAAGTGTTTATTATAAGCCCTAAGGACTTCATATAATAACATTACCCTATTTAAAATACGAAGTACTCCGTTTATTTTGAAAATAAGTGCAATAGTTTGAATAGGCACATTTGCTATCATATAACTTTAACCATGTACATTTAATTACATGGAAAAGGTTTTTAAGAAAATTAAATAATGTACGAAAAATTGGGAAAATGTCTGGATATTTTATATTTCCCCCGTTCCAATAATATTGCAACAAGGATGAAATTACGCATTTCAAAGTACATTTTATATGTTAAATATCTCTAATTGTATAAGAGTAAAAATTATAAAAAGTTGATATTGTGAAAGTATTTTATGAGACAAATCTAACAAAATCTCACGTGACTATATTTTGCTTAACGTATAAATCATATTATATAATCACATAAGAGTGATGAACAGTGCAAAAGTCCCATTATTACAATATTATTGAAACGGAAGAAGTATGAAAAAGGTAACAAAAGTTGGGATTATAATAAAATTATGAAAAAAGATTTAAAAAGATGAAACATGCCAGGCAGAATGCAACATATACAAAAGTTGATATTATACTATTTCAATATCATATATTGTGACTAACTTAAGTTCATTAATTACTCGTATTACATAGATAGTATGTTCAATTTACAGAGTCAAAGTGATGCAATTATTTAAAAATTAATATTGTATAGTGTATACTGCTATAAGAAAAATGTTGGATATAATTTTTTCCACTTTAAGCTCTATCAACTTTAATACGAAATACTGCATATAATTTTCGTTCAAAAAATAAAATAAAATAAAAAAGTACTCTGTATAATTTAATATAAGATCAAACTTCATAAAATTCGATCACCCTGTGAACGAGTTACTAAATGTATTTGATGCATATTTATTGTTACATGTATACGGATTGGAGTACATTTTAAAGTGTACTCCGTATATAGGGAATAAAAACTTTTTTTTTTCTTTTTTTGTGTGTAAAGTTGAGGAGGATTAACATCTAGAAAAAATATAAATTTGTAGAATCAAATATATTATATAAATAAAGTAGGCATTTTTCGAGAGCATAGGAGCGCCACATAAGAAATATACTTATTTTGACCAATAAAAAGAAAAATTTGTATTTTATTTTTGAATTAAAAAACTATGTCGCCACCTAGATAAAAGTAACGAATTAGATTTGATATATCTAAAATTTTAATACCACGTAGACTATAAGCCACGAATTAAATTATTCTAATGAAAAATATAAAGTAAAAATATAGGAAAAGATAATTATTAATTCAATACTACAAGTATAAGAAATCCAAAAAATAAAAGGGTTTTGTGTATATACACAAAGGAAGGAATATATATAAGAATTCGTCGAGAATAGATCAAGACGAATTCTTTTAGAGAGAAGAAGATAGAGCTCAATGTGATGAGCTCACTTAAGATAAAATTGAAATGTCACAAGGAAGCAATATTTAACAAAAGTACGAAAAAAAGGGAGTCAAATTAACATACATTTGTTTACACCTATATTTGCATCATTCTATCCTTGTTTATATAGAACGTTATATGCTTGCTTAATTGTGTGGTGTTCGTTGAATTTTAGTCGATTTTGGGAGCGTTGACAACTAATTAATTTATCTATAGAGTTCTTGGTAGTTCGTATAGAATTAATATGGCGTAATACATGTGCATTTTCGTTTTTCTACTAGACATGGCACATCTACTTCCACTAACTACTTAACTTGTAGTCCCAACTTAATTAATTAGTAGTTAACTTAAGATATTGCACAACAAATGCATATAATTAATTAGTAGTCTCCCAACCCCCAAATTTAAAAAGAAAAAAAATATTGCACAATTGATGTGATTATTCAGTTCGTGGTTGGCAAATTAAAAACCTTAAGTACATGAATTGGAAATTTTGGCATATGTAGGAAAAAAAAGGCCACAACAAATGCATATAAAGATACAAACATGGAGGTGTATAAGTAGATAAAATATTTATTTTTTATATAGTTAGATTAGGAATTTTGTCAATTAAATAGGCTAGACTATCTTATTTAGTTTTGGTACTAGAAAAGTTATTAGGTTGTTAGGATTGAAGTCTAATTTTAGCGTGTTCTATTCACCTAATTTTCACTTATCTTAACTTATCTTAACTTATCTTATCTTATTTGAACTTTATTTAACTTTATTCAAATTTATTTTAATTGTAATTTGTAACCCAACTTATTTTTCTTTATTACACTTAAACTAAGTGAAAATAAGGTGAACATTACAGGCCCTAAATACATAAATTTGAAAAATCAATACCCAATCTATGCCATTAAAAATCGAAATCTTCTTCTATAATTCAAGAGATGAATAAATTAACACGAGTTACTAAATCTAATATACCTCCTTTTATTTATTTTTAATATGTTTTCAGAACCACATGTTTCTATTAATAGGTTCCGATTCTACTTCTAGTTACTACTTTTTGTTCACCCCAAATAAGAAGAGAATATATAGAGATAAAAGTGAGATTATTCTATACCACAAAAGGATCGATTAAAGCATAAATAGGATGACAACACATAGCAGAGGAGGTAAACAAAATCAATAATCAGCTGCAAAAAAATTCATTCGATTACTAAGAGTACTTATTACAGACTTGTATGAAATTATAATACAGCAAATTACATGCATATAACGTAACTCTAAAATAATAAAACAAAATTTTGTCATCTAAATAAACGTCAAAATTCGTTTTTATTATTAACAATAAATTGTACGTATATATATATATACCTTATAGTCATAATCACCTTTTCTTTTTCCTTTTGAGGTACTCAAGAACTGATTGAGAAGTGCAATAAGAAATAGCTTGGATTGTGACCATAGGATTAACACCCAATGCCGTAGGAAAGACACTCGAATCGGCTAAATAAAGCCCCTCTACTTCCCAACTTTCTCCCATTTGGTTTACAACCGAGGTCCTCGGATCGATTCCCATCCTACAACTCCCCATTTGGTGGGCAGATGCAATAGGTGTAGAGAGACCTTGTATGGCCTTAGAACTTTCTTTCTTAACAAACTTCTCGAATTCGTGACAACTAACTTTCTTCACATTAATACTTGCACCACTTTTATGGTGTGTGCCTATCTCTTCGGCCCCTGCTCCTGCTAGTATCCTAAGCATCTTCTCTATTCCTTTTTTAAGGTTTGCCTCGTCTGACGAGTGCAAATTGTATGTGATGTCGAATGGAGATTTCGAAATGTTGCCTGATCCTACATCGCGAGCAAGGGCAAAGATGTGTGCTGTTCGCGAAAATTTTGTCATTCTATCCTTCATATTTGAGCCTGAGGTCCATGGCATTATGGCCGAATATATACCGGGGTGTAATGATGGGGTTTGGATCACGGCACCGTACCCTGACCCGTTAAAATCCGCTACCACGGTCGACATGGCTGTCATGATTCCTCCCTCGTAACTCTTTTTCTCTTTTTCCGGCCACACTTTCCCTTCGTCCGACAACAAAGTTGATAGTGGCTCCTTATCCGGGAAGTACCCCCATGCCATCACCACCGGGTGAAGGTGCAAATTTTTTCCTATGTTCGGGTTCTTTAGGCCGCTCTTTTTTAGTAATGCTGGCGTGTTGAGTGCACCACAAGCTACAATTGTTGCCTTCGCCTTGACCACACATAGGTCACCTGTTTTTAACTTGAACACCACTCCTTTCGCCGTGTCTCGATTTCTCCCTTGTTTTCTTTCATACAAGACCTTTTCAACTTTACACCCGGTAAGTATAGCCCCATTTCCGGAGTCTATCACATCTTTAAGCCAAGTTTCACACGTACCCTTCTTCCTCCCATCCTTACACCCAAGACAACACCAACCACAATAATGATCTGCAGGGGCATTTCGGGGAATATTCACTACAGGGTACCCTAATTCCAAACAACCCTTCCTTAAAACCGCATTATTAAACCCTTCATCACTAATTTCACTTTGAACTTCCATCTTTTCACAAATCACATCTAGGGCTTCCTTAAACAATGGACTATCAAAGATCTCGAGTTCATGATCATTAGCCCACTCTCTAATCACATGTGGCGGGGTCCGTATCGAGGCAGACCAATTTATTGCTGATCCACCCCCAACCGTTGATCCAGCTAAAATCATTACCCCTAAATCCCTAGTTGTTAACAAACCTGCACCTTCATACATCTGATCCAAAGTGGGTCCCTCTAATAGAGAGAGATTTTTCCTAGCACAATAATCTCCCTTTTCCAAAACTAGAACTTTATATCCTTCTGAGGCTAAAACTCCGGCAACTAGACCACCACCACTTCCAGAACCTACCACAACGACGTCGCACTGGATAGTCAACAATGGATTTTGGTAATTATTACTTTTCTTTTTTCGATTTAGTGACACGTGTAAGCCTGGGCGTCTTAGATATTTAACAAGGATATCTTGAGGATTGTTTATGTTAATAATTCCTTTATAAAGTGGGCCGTAGAGATCTTCTTTGGAATGTTCTTGGCCTTGCTTTTGGGTTACTGCATTTGGGCTATTATGAGATGGTTTTGGTGTGAGATAACCAATGGGCTGGTTCGACTCGTTTTGCTTTCGTGGTTTAAATTCCGGGTCTGGCCCACAATACCCAATTGCCTTCCAAGATGGGTTCTCGTCATTATCGTCCACCTGACAGTATTCAAGAATCATTTTAATGACATTCAACAAAAAAAAAAAAAAAAACAATTTGCACTTGAACAGTAAATAACAAGAACTAGAAATAAATTCGTCAATGTTTTTAGTTGTTACACTTTATTTTATAGCATTTCCAGCTCAAATGTGTCAATTGTTTATATCATTATCCTTCTTGATCAATTTAGTTATAATCTGTCCATTATTAATATTTGACCCACTAATCTTAATTTATTTTTTTTAATATATAAATTCTCTTTCAACAACTAATAATTTAGGTCTCTGATTAATTATACAGATATAATTAACCTCAAAATTCCTCCCCCCTGTATTTGGGATAATGAGATGTTCATAAGAATCATAGCCACGTGGCATAACTGTTATATGAGAAATTTTAAAGTTAATTATATCATATGATATACAATATCAACATAACTCATAGAAATATGTGACTAAAGTGAGAACACAATATAATTAGAACGGAGGAAAATTTTTGGAATTAATACGGAGTAATAACTTACAAAAATAATATCATTTTTTACAATACTATCGAATTATCTCAACATATATTTATTTTAAAACATCGGCTTTTATAAATTTATTAATAAATACTTCGAAATATAAAACAATAATGATCAATTGTGAATAAAAGTCAAAATAAACCTTTAAGTAGCTTTTTCTTCTTTAATTTTGATACTATTGTAGTACTATACTCATTTAATTTATATTCTTAGCCCTTTGCCCTGTCATTTTATAATAATTTTATTCTAATTATCTCTTGATATTCACTTTTTTCTGACATTCATCCATATATTTTTTCCCTATCGGTTTTTTTATACCTAACTATTGACCGTGAAAAATAAAAAAGAGATCGGAAGAGGAAGTACATGAATAATGTAAGTGGGGGCAGCAGCATTGAGGCATACATGATTTTGTTATAGGTGAAATATAGGTTGATGTATAGTATAGTATAATAATGTAAAAAAAGAAGGTAAACGTGCTTAAAGATGAATAATGTAAGTGGGGGCAGCAGCATTGAAGCATACATGATTTTGTTATATGATTAGATTATCTAATGTGTTTTGAGTTTGAGAAGTTGGTGCATAGCTTTTAAGTTGAGTAATGAGCTTGCTAGGTCTCTTGTAGTAAATGTATGTCACCCAATTTTCGGCCGACAAAATTTGTTACAATGTCAAGTGTCATTGGTATCGTACTTAATTCATTTTTCACTTATTTATAGAATTACATTGTATTTTTGAAATTATACCTTTTAATAGAAGGTGTTGAAAGTGTTTTCCTTCATATATATAATACGGAGTATATATTTTTAAAAAGTTAAAATTGGTATAATATATATTTTTTAAAAGGTAAAATTGATAATATAAGAAGACCCTTATCACGAGGAGAATTCTGAATGTGAAAATTAAAATTAAAATTTAGCGAAAAAAGGTTGTAATACAAAGACTTTTTAAAAAGCTATCCATACTATCTTACCCAAGCATATTTAAATGCAGAAATCTAATGAGATCTGGTGCATTAGTTATTGAATTGTATATGATCATACTCAAAATAGAAGATTACACTAAAAAATAATATCCCCTTTGTATACAGTTGTGACACTGTAAATAGTTATTTTGTACGATACAAATTATTTTGCTTCAAAATTAAAATAGAAAGATGGTAAAATTGAGAGAGATATGGAAAGAGAAGGATAGCGGAGGAGGTTCGATTGAAGAGAGTAAACTAAAAATTGAACAATGATAACATTGTTATATGCTTCGTGATAATTACTCCGTTAACTATTTCTTCATACTTTGTAGTATGATGATAGAGAAATGGAGGTAACTAATAGGAATGCGTGACACATTAACATTTAATTTTACTATAACTTTGTGTTATAATAAAGTCTCTTGCCAGATGGTTCCTAGAATAAAATTTTTGTAAATTCATTTTATTGTAATTATTAGAGAGATTGATTTCTATCAAATTCTGATTCGTTACATTATCAAACTCTATATAATAATAGCACTATATTAATTTCTTTGACAAAGACATTTTCCCTGATTTAGGTTTCCTTCCGTGACCACTTTGGTATTTTATTACTTTAAGCATTAAAGAATAAAACTGGCAGTTGGAATGTTTTCATCAACCATTATTACATAGCCAAACTTTAACCATAAATTTTTACTAATATATACTGATACAATACGTATAGTAAACAAAAATATTATCATGTGAAATCTTGATCAATGCTTGTTTTTAGGATTAATAATTATTATATATTTAAATACATAAGTTAAAAAAAACAAGATAATTACATATGGGCAGGAAAAAAAACTTACTTATATTGCCTATGTTAAAAAAAAACCCTTATATATGGTTCCTCTTATAATCATTTTTACAAACTTATTATTAATAAATGAATATATATATATATATATATATATATATATATATTATATATATATATATATATATATATATTTCCAAAAGAATGATAAAAAAAAAAAACAAAAAAAAAACCCCAAGTGAAATGATGTAATTCATGAGTATATAAACTTGTAAAGTAAAAACTAGTACTGTAATCCATAAGTAAATAAACTTGGAATAGTATAAATACTCACAGTTTATTTATTTAGTTGAAACATTTACATTTTTGACACATTCACAAACTATCTAAGAAGTAGTTTTTTAAATTTATAATTTCATAATCACTTGGCATTTGTTAGATTTGTCTCTACATATATTTTCAAAACATCAATTATTTATAATTTCCACTTGTTAATAATTAGATTTAAAACCTGTTAAACTTATGTGTTGGTTGGCTAATGTGATATAATAAAAGAAAATAACCGTGTCAATTAAAAAAGAACGGAGGAGTTAAGAGCAACTAAAGGTATACCTGAGTGTAAAAGGCCAACAGAATGAGTAATCTTACACCAACAAAGGCCCACCGATATAAAAAGAAGCAACTATTACTCAGTGAAAGAATAAGCCGCTGTTGTTTTTCCAGTGGTAATTGTGAAAACTTGAAGACAAATGGGAAACAAGGAGATAAACTGTGTATTCCTCCAAATACAAAGGTTCCTAACCTTGTTGACAACATAAGGAAAAAGAATCGTAGTAGGAACACATGATGTCGAAGTCTATGGCTTATCAACCTTCCTATCTGAAATACATGCACAAAATAACACAAAATATTAGCCATAGAATATATCATAACACGTACTATACATGCATATATAAAGTGCTTATTTAATCTCTTTTATATATATATATATATATATATATATATATATATATATATATATATATTATTTTTTTTTCTAAATAGGAGACTTGAAGGGGAAATATATTTATTGTATGGTCTCGAATCATAACATCGAAATTTAGACATTATAGTATGTAGTAAGCTTTCTAAATACTATGTATGGTGATTATATATTTTTTTGTGATGGGAAGGAGTTTTAGTTCAGGATTCAAAAGGACCATGCAATATAAATTTGTCATGCCAAGGGGATGAAAGGAGTTGATTATATCATAATTTTCATTATTTTGTAGTATTTGAAGTCTTGTAATATTAATAGAAAACATAGTGATGTTATAAAGATTTGAATACTTCAGAACAAGTGAATGCAAATAGCTTATTCAATTCTATTCCACCCCCCCTCCCCCCCCCCCCCCCTCCTTTTTTTTTTTTTTTTTTTTTTTTTTTGCCATAGTTTGATCATGATCTTATGCATTATTCAAATGTTTTACTTTAACTCTTTTTAATTAGACTCATCTTAGCGTATCTTTGTGTATATTTTAAAATATCATCTATATATTTTATTTACTTATAACTAACCATATGCATAAATTAGATCAATAAGCATGTATTTTACCATCTATATATTCCAAAAATCTTGTTAAGGTTATGCACAGATCAATAAACTAAGGATTAATGTCAAATTAAATTAATAATGAATGTAAAGAACACAGAGAATATCTTATATATCATGCATGTTAAAAAACTTGCTTTATCTTATAATATGTATAAGTTGATGAAAGTATGTACTTCATGTTACTACAAAAAGAAAAATTATTTCATACTCCATATTACTACGTACACGGGTACATAGCCAAAATCATAAACACATAGGCAAAATAATAAACACATAAATGAAATAGCCGCAAAAGAAATAAGAACGGACATACTCAACCATAATAGTTTATATAGCAAAAATAAAAATAACGAAAGATGCATGGTGCCTACATGCTCTGGACATCCAGTTATAGAGGCTGAGGTTTTGTAAAATTTGATGACACACTCATCCGTGGCCGTCTCCGGTGGATCCACGGCCGGAATGATGGTGTCACAAAGGGCGGTAAGAGCGTCCATCTCCCGGGCGGACAATTTATTAGTATAAATTCGTTTATCTCCCTCATTCAAAAGGCTTTGTGTATCAATACTTCCTAAATCTATGACCAAATGCTCTCCTTTTTTGTTTGTAACGACATTCGAACCCTCGAGCACCATACTAATTTTGTGTGATTTTTTTTTTTTTTTTCTAGGAAAAGATATATAAATTAAAAACCTAGGGATGCATGAATAATAATCTTTCTATTATATGTTATGTTTTCATGTATATGTATATATAATACGTAAGCTTGTATACATGTGTGGCGCTCAGTAGTAGCTAAGATTGCAAGCTAACGCAATTACTCTCAAGAAAGCAAGAGGAGCGTTGTCAACTAACTAATAACTAATATGATATACTTGTGAAATTAATGTGAGTGACATGATTATTCTAACTTACTATTTTTTTTTAGTAAAGTGTTATACATAGTGGTTGGCTATATGTAAATTCCTTTTGTGTTTTTTTTTAAAAAAAAAAAAATATATTTTAATTTATTTATTCCTTCTATTTCAGAATGACCGATGCAGTTTTTTTCAAAAAAAAAAAAAAAATGATCGATGTAATTTGACCAAGTACACATGGCAACGCATAAGTTTGACCATTTATATTTGAAAATATACGTTAGTATTTATATTAGACAAAGTTAATATTATGAAAATATAAAATAATGCTATTTTAACAATATTAATTGTACATTGTGATGTTTGAGTTATTCATATTATTGTATATGTACGGTTAAAGTTGATATATAAGTACAGAATTTTTCAAATATTTTGAAACGGTTGTATTATAATTTATACATTTGTATCCTTTAAAGTAAATCATTGAATATTAATATTTTCAATTCTAGATACTAGTTAAAATTATAAAAAGTTGATATTATAAAAATACACATTTAAACAAATTTAACTTTTTAACAAGTTCCCTCCTGCTTTTTTTTAAATACTCATATAAATAATTAAAGGCTGTTTAAATTTTCCCACATACCTCCTCCAATTTTTAACTGCGTCATATGGAGTTTCGTGCTTACACATGAAAAACTTTGATCATTCATATTTTTAATTACTTTTTAAAAAAATTATTGATGTTCGCGCATAAATCAAGATAAATCTAATAAAATTCCACCAGAATATATTTTATCTTACATATAAAACACAAAAAATGGTAAAAGTGAGATAGATGTGTGAGTGGTGTGTTCAAATGATGTGGTTACAAAAGATGGAAGTATATAAATTCTAAAAAAGGGAGCAAGTATAAGAAGATAAACAAACATTGATTATTAAATAACACCAATCAAAAAGTGGTTTCGTATGACTTTCAAATTTAATTTGCTTTTGGACAATTTAACTATGGCTGGTTTTGTTTTTAAAGTTTTATTGATTAACTCGGGGCGGTCTTTACTTTAGAAGGGTTTTTTTCAAAACGGCCCCATTTATATTTTTAATCGATTTAACCGGTTAATAGTATCATGTGTCTTATTTTTAATTCGTTTGTTGTAGTTAACAAAAAATTAATCCTCCACCACTCAACACCCACCCCTTAACTTTAGGCACTGTTATCTTCTTAAAACAATAATATTTAATAAAACAAACCACACTAAATATTTAACATGTTGCAAATTTTAATCGTTTTACCTATTGATAATAAGCTAAGGAATGTTATAAGAAGCCCCTTCCCCCCCCAAAAGTTAGGACCGCTATGAACTAATTGATAGTTAAATCCCTTTAAATAAAGCAAAATATTCATAGTTAGAATTGGTGGCGTTAATTTTACCTTTGCTTTTTAGGTGGTAAAATAGCAATAATGACCGGTTTTTTTTTTTAATCTTTAAAGTCTATATATCTCCTCCAAAAACCTTTTTTATGAGCCATTTCAAAATATAATCCCAACAAAAAAGCTACCTTTCCAATTTTCTTCTCCTCTTGGTCCAACTAGCCTATAAGGTGGTCTTATGAATTAGGATAATAAGACATCTTATTTAAAAATTTGTATTTCAATTATATTTTGAGAAAAGTAAGTTAAGATAAGTTTTAACAAAAATTGATGGATTCAAATTGCAATTAAGATAAACTTTGAAGTGTGACTAGAAGACATATGTGTCACAAACACCAATTTTCTCCTTTACTACATTTTGATTTAATTAAAACTCGGACGGCGCATCTATATAAAGATGGTAAAAATGGTAGTAATGAGAATGCATTTGTATATAAATTTGATCATATTAACCAAAAGCTTAAAATTAATGGTTAAAGTCTTAGGAATGTATTTTATACTCTCTCATGTCTCTTCACATGCTGTGAGCAATTAAATTGGGTTGCGGGCTTAAACTATGAATACAATGAACATGGATATTTCCATACTAAACCCTAAATAATCCACTTATAGAGTAGTAAGGAAGAAGGATGGGATTTGAGCACATGACTACGTCGTGTTGTCATATTAGCCCTGCTGATACCATGTTAGAAAATCAACTCAACCTAATAACAAAAACTTAAGGTAATGATTGAAAATCGGGCTGGATTTCATACTCTATCAATCAATCGGCTATTACATACCAAAGTATCCATCTTATAATAAAGAAAACAATCCCATTTATTACCACTAATATAGGTGATACGTGAAACTTATACTATTCTTAAAAGTCAAGATATAGAAATACTACCTCCGTTTTTTTAGTTGACACTTTTGACTTTAATTTAGCACTATTCACCCACTCTTCTTTGACCGTATTTTGTGCTTTATACGTAATGAAAATTATAGTCATGTGGATCTTGTTAGATTAGTCACGATACATATTTTCAAAATATCAACTTTTTATAATTTTTGTTTATCGGTAATTAAAGATATTAATGGTTAAAATTGTGAATTGGCAAACGTGACTAAAGAAACGTGTCAACTAAAAAGAAACGGAGGAAATACTATTTTACATACAATACATATTACTTTGTCTTGAAATCAAATGCTCCTAAAAACAAGAAAAAAATAAAGAGATATAAAGAGTATTATCACTATTAAAGCCAAGTAATTAACAACTAATATCTATCCGAATTTATCATTTACTTCCTCCGTTTCTTTTAATTGCCCCTTTCACGCTTATCAGTGCAATACTTTGGTCATTAAAAACTATAATTATATTTATAACAAAATTATAAAGATTTGATATTTGAAAAGTAGACGCCGAGACAAATTTGACTAGATCTCATATGACTATATTTTTCCTTACGAATAAATCACTAAATATGGTCAAAGGAGATTGTGTGAATAGTGTAAAAATCCAAATAGTACAATTAAAAATATGGAGGAAGTATAATATAATTGCTATATATTTACTATATGTACTTCTTCCGTTCTTCTAATATTGTAATAAGGCAAAAGATACGAAATTTAAGATGAAGAGGGAGATAAAAAGAAATAATGATAATATGTGATGAGGAGATAGAAAGCACGTGCATATATAGTAATATTAATATTTGTAAAACTCACCAATTGTTACAATATTCGGAAGTACGAATACTATGAGTTAAAACCTACCGTTGGGCACCGTGCCGTGCCGCCGTGGGCCGTGCCGGCCGTGCCGTCATGCTGGTGCGGTCGTGCCGTGCCGTGCCGGCCATTTCCACAAAGTCAGCCTTCGGTAGGGCACGACCCACGTGCCTAGCGTGTCGTGTCGTGCCGACCCCCCGTGCCGCCCATTTATTTATTTATTTTTTAATATTTGCTTTATTATTTTGTTAAAAAAATATTAATTTTATTATAAAAGTGTCGTGCCCGACGGGCCGATGTTCGTGCCGTCCGCTGTGCTCGTGCCAAATTTCAATTTCCTTGTTCACGGCACGGTCCACGGCCCACCGGCCGTTCCACGTGTCGTGTCGTGCCGCTGCCGTGCCCGTGCCATGTCGGGCCATCTGGCGTGCCGTGCCGAGCAGCCCGCGTGCTAGCTCGGCCCATGCCCAGCTTTACCTACCGTACTTGTATTTTACATGCAATAACTGTTGGTCTATTACTACCCTGTTAGCAGTCTTGAGATAGGAGGCTAGAGCAGTTGGCTAGTTTTCCGACTTTACAGGCGTGAGGATAGGGGTCAAACCTCATCAAACACATTATAGGAAGTATTTCCCTTACATCCCCCTTCTAAGATGGGTCTTCTCCTTAACCTTAAAAAAAAATGCTAGCAGTCTTAGCACTACTTAATACAGTATAAAATATTGTTGCGTGTAATAATATTTAATTTTTATGCAATAATACAACTAGAGAGTAGATTAAGCAAAATCCCAAGACTAGTAGGCAAATAACAAGACAGTAGACGCAACCAACTCGAATTAATTTCGTGGCCCTGCCAAAATTATATTTTTATACAAAATTTGGTGCGACTGATCTTTTTCCAACAATGCTGATATGATGATGGTGATATATATTAATAGGATTGAATACAACTCATCTACCAATTGTTACGAGTCAATTGAAATATCAATGTTGATTTTTTGTCTAATTCCAAGTAATTGAATTTAGTCTTTTTTGCATTTTAATTATGTTTACCAATTCCAAGTAATTGAATTTAGTCTCTTTTGCATTTTTGATATGTTTTCGGTTGAATGTTTGATTTATGTCTAATTTGAAGATACAGATGCCGATAATTATTTATTATATCTTATTTTGGAGAATTTTAGTATAGTTGTAATTATTGATTAGTTATACACTTGAGCGATGCCGATAATTATTTTACGTTTAATTCTCATAGAATATACCGTATAAAAGCTCCAATGAAAGATTTCACAAAGTATATGTCAAATAGAAATTGCAAATATAAACTTCAAGATGTTAGGAAATTCAACATATGCCCTAATATATATTATCACCATATCGGTATATAGCTAGATTTCCCAACAATATGACACAATTTAAATCATAAAAACATTTGGATACACCCAGTGTATAGTAACTTAACATATACTTCGTATAATATAGTTGGTCACCTTGAGCATCAACACTGATCATGGTATAATTTTATACAAAGTACAATGGTGTAAAAAAAACATCTAAGTCATAAACTCATGCATGGTATAAATTTATACCATTTGATATGATGTTATACCATCATATGGTATAATTTTGCATTGGTCCGTATGAAACATGTCCCAAGTAGGTCACGCCATGTGACCCGTTAAGTATACATATAGCTTTAATTATTTTTTTCAATTACATTTTAAGAAAATATTATAATGTTAAAAATTATGAAAAAATCCATTGTTAATAATTTTTCAAGATCTATGTATAAATACTCATATTGATATACTTCTAAATATTTTTTGAATTCATTTTCTCTGCCAAATTGT